GCAATTGCTCTCTCGTGATACTCTTTAGCTTTCGCGTATTCGCCAAGGCTTTGAAACAGAGTTCCGAGGTTTCCGTAACTTCTTTCCTCTCCATGTCTGTCACCAATTTTAATCGCGATGGCAAGTGCTTTCTCGTGATATTCTTTAGCCTTCTGAAATTCTCCAAGGGTTTGAAACACAACTCCCAAGTTTCCATAGCTTATTCCTTCTCCTTCTCTATCGCCAATTTCTATTTCGATGGCAAGTGCATTCTTGTGAAATTCTTTAGCTTTCTGATATTCGCCAAGGGTTTGAAAGAGAACTCCGAGGCTTCCGTATCTTCTTCCTTCTCCTTGTCTGTCGCCAATTTGTATCGCGATGATAAGTGCTTTTTCTTGATATTCTTTAGCTTTCTCATAATCGCCAAGGCTTTTAAACAGAGCTCCGAGGTTTCCATAACCTCTTTCCTCTCCTTGTCGGTCGCCAATTTTGATCGCGATAGCAAGTGCTTTGTCGTGATATTCTTTAGCCTTTGGATATTCTCCAAGGAAATAAAACAAAGTTCCGAGGTTACTGTATCTTGTTCCTTCTTCTCGTCTGTCACCAATTTCTAACGCGATGGCAAGTGCTTTCTCGTGATGTTCTTTCGCCTTCTGATGTTCGCCAAGGTTTTGAAACAGAGCTCCGAGGTATCCGTGAATTCTCTCTTCTCCTCTTCTGTCGCCAATTTCTTTCGCGATGGCAAGTGCTTTCTCGTAGTTTTCTTTAGCCTTCTCATATTCGCCAAGGGTGCAAAACAGAGTCCCGAGGTTTCCGTAACTTCTTTCTTTTCCTTCTCCGTCGCCTATTTCTATCCCGATGGCAAGTGCTTTCTTGTGAAATTCTTTAGCCTTCTGATATTCGCCAAGGGTTTGAAACAGAACTCCGAGGATTCCGTGTCTTTTTCCTTCTTCTTGTTTTTCGCCAGTTTTGATCGCGATGGCAAGAGCTTCTTCGTGATATTCTTTAGCTTTCTGATATTCGCCAAGGGTTTGAAACAGAGCCCCGAGGTTTCCGTAACTTCTTTCTTCTCCATGTCTGTCTCCAATTTTGATAGCGATGGCAAGTGCTTTCTCGTGATATTCTTTAGCCTTCTGAAATTCTCCAAGGGTTTGAAACACAACTCCCAAGTTTCCATAGCTTATTCCTTCTCCTTCTCTATCGCCAATTTCTATTTCGATGGCAAGTGCATTCTTGTGAAATTCTTTAGCTTTCTGATATTCGCCAAGGATTTGAAACAGAACTCCAAGGCTTCCGTATCTTCTTCCTTCTCCTTGTCTGTCGCCAATTTGTATCGCGATGATAAGTGCTTTTTCTTGATATTCTTTAGCTTTCTCATAATCGCCAAGGCTTTTAAACAGAGCTCCGAGGTTTCCCA